AATCAGGATGAAAAGGACTTAAGATCTGAGACTATGAGTTTTTAAATTCACTTATTTCTGATTCTTGTTGTCTCATCTGTTGCACTGATATACCTTCAGGGTTTGCAATGTATATATACCTATAGGTATATATGTGTCTATATCTATCTATATACCTATCTATCTGTCTGTCTGTCTGTCTGTCTGCCTGCCTCTCTCTATCTACTCATTCAAACCTCACAACATTTACCTTTCTACTATGTAACCAGTACCAAATAATTTTGACAATTCCTATTTCATTATACAGTTGGAGGTCTGAAAATGCTATTCTTGTTTCATTTCTACCATTTAAAAATTATTTCTCTTGACATTTCAGATAATTTTCTTTCTCCAAGTTGTTTTTCTTATTTTGTCTGCATCTGTAAATCATCCCTTTGCTATTTTGGTTGGTATTTGACCATATCTGTATATTAAGATTCATAATATTTTCAGTTTTATTAAATATCCAAGGTGCAGATATGGACACTGAATATTTTGCAGAATAAAATTTCTAAGAAGAAATTTCAGCAAACTGTCATAATGTTGAGCAAAATGTATATAAACATATCAATATGTATATCTGCATAAGTTGAATTCAGGTGTGATTCTTGAATGTAATTAGTCTTTTCTTTTCAAACTTTATATTACATGGTTGCCTAATGAAGGTACACAAGTCTCCTTTTTAGTAGTTTCCACTGATTTCTGAAGAGAGACAGTTGACAGCCCCTGCCTGGTCAGGATTTTACCTTACACACATTTACTTTAAGATGTGGTCTCTGTACTTCTTTTTTCAAGAAATAAAGAATTTCTGTATTCGTGATATTAAATTGTCTCTTCATACCCAAACCTAAATATCATGAAGGATGATGTTATAAGTAGACAAGTTTCCTTTAAGTTTGAGTGTTCCTGGAAATCTAAAAACTGTAGCCAGAAACTAAACTATTATTAAACATTGTCTTTTAAACATTAGTTGCTTCACTCTGTACTGAATTTATTTTAGAAAATGATTTTTAAAAGAACAAATACAATATTTGATTTGATAAAGTTCCTTTAAAGGAAGAGGAATTATGATAAATTGAAGGACCTAAATATGCAGGCTATATAGATGGCAACCTTCAAGATATTTGGAAACTTTTCTTCCTTTACAATTTGGTTTCCACCTCAACCAGCAGAGAAAGGAGATAAAGCAATGAAAAAGTGAGCAAAACTATCCTTGGATAAATGTCCATTTTTGACATTCATGATATGGAGACATGGGGTAATATTTATAAATAGCAATTATCTATTTCAAAAAAGAAAAACAACATAAAAATCATCCTGATAGAAGTTTTAGCTTTGTAATTTTTAAAAAGAGGGTTGGGCTGTTGGATTTCAAAAGTTTCCACCAAGTCTGAAACTTCTTTGATTCTTAGTGTTGAGGCAACCAACAAATGAATCCATTATTCTATGCTCTGACCAAATTAGACTCTTTGGTGTCTGTGTTCTTCTCTGAATATCTACCATCTCTGTGTTTTAAAAAGGGTGGCAGGGGCAACTAGGTGGTGCAGTGAATAGAGTACCAGCCCTAGAGTCAGGAGAACCTGAGTTCAAACCCTGTCTCAGAAACATAACACTCACTAGCTGTGTGACTCTGGGCAAGTCACTTAACCCAAATTGCCTTACTAAAAAAAAATGGTTGTCCCCCAGGCACAGAGTTGTCACTCACCTCTTCCCTGCTATTTTTACCAAATAAAATCCCCCCTCTCTTTTAAGGTTCATCCCATGTCACCTCCTCCCTGTAGCATCTCAAGATCCATGCAAGTGAAAGTAATCTCAGTCTTCAAGTTTCAACTAATATTTTTTCTGTATGTCTCCTTTATATCTAACACATTTTGCCTTCTTTCATAAACATTTGAATACTTGTGCCAGTCGCGCCGTGCACTCTCTTCCTATAAGGAGCAGGCTGCCAAGGTCATACTTACCAGTCTTTGGAGCCCACCCGGATAAACACAGAGACGAGCCGATCAGGAGGTGCAAACACTCGAACTTTATTCAGAGGCCATCACAGCAAGGCCAAGCAGGAAAGCAAGAGCAAGAGAGCAGGAGCAAGAGAGAGTGAGCTCCGACCCCTACCGCCCCTATATACCTTCCTAGCCCCTCCTCCTCAGCCCGCCTACCAGTGAATGATTGTAGGATCAGATACCGGAAGGAGACGTCTGGGGTTAGTGCTGCACCTAGGGAGAGGACGTGACACAGGAGGCTAGGCCCGGATACAGGAAGGAGACATCTGGGGTTAGCGCTGCACCTAGGGAGAGGACTAGACAAAGGGAGCTCGTTCTCTGCCGTCCCACTCCCACGTGGCACAGCCCCCTGCCTCAGGAGCACATGCTCCGGCTACTTCCCCGTATCCTGTTGCTACCCCAGTTCACCACAACTCCACATGGCACAGCCCCCTGCCTCGGGAGCGTGAGCTCTGGTTACTTCCTAATATCTTGTCCCTGCCCCATCTTGCCACAACCACCACGTGGCACGTAGCCAACATCAGACAATCCCTCACAAATACTTGCCTTTTCCTTTCTATTTCGTTGCAAGCTTCTTGAAGATAGAGTTTATCTCAAGCATCTAGTACACTGCCATTGGTTATTAAAATGAATTTTACAAACTGTACCCACCAAACGCATTACCCAATGCTGAAGAAATCTATTCAAAACATATTAATAGTACCTGAAGGAGCATTCCTCTATCCTACACAACACCAGTCCCTATTATTATAGAGAATACCAGAATCCTCTTATTTACTCATGCTTTCAACCTACGAGCGAAATCTAACTCCTCACTCTATCTCATTCTCCATATCTAATCAACTGCCAAGACATCCATTTTCCACCCTGTAATATGTGTGTTCCCTAATCTATTCTGACACTTCCATCATCCAGGTGCAAGGTCTAATCGCCTCCTATCTGGATTATAACAACAGCCTTTTGGATGGTCTCCCTCCCGTAAATTTCTCCCCATCCCAGTTAATCCTCCATTCAACTCTACAAAGATCTTCCTAAGGCACAAATCTTATCTGGTCACCCCTTATCCAGTCAACAACTCCAGTGTTTCCAAATTACCTCCAGGATTAAATACAAAATCCCCTGTTGGTCATTTAAAGCCTTTTACAAGCTGGACCAAACCCACCTTTCCAATCTTGTTACATCTTACACTCCTACTGTACTCTACCATCCAGTGACATGAGTCTCTTAAATGTGCCTTGAACATGACACTCCATTTCTCAACTGCACACATTTTCTCTGGCTCTCTGCCTTTGCAAGAACTCTCTCCCTCCTCACTTTTGCCTCCTACCTTCTTTGACTTCCTTCAAGACTCATCTAAAGTCCAACTTTCTAAATACATTAAGATAAATTGCATCTAAGATCTAGATTGCATGAATCTAAATAATTCTTGTTGTGTGGAACTATTGACTTGAGTCCCATAATGGCCACTTATTGCCTATCAAACACCATTCAAACTCAGCCTGGATCACTATTCCCCCCGCCAACTGGTGCCTCCCAATTCTTTCAGTCTTATCTCATCATAGACAAATTGCCACAAGTGGTATACTTCTATTCTTTCCTGTTGCCTGTACATATCCTGTTTTTCCCATGCCTCCACTCTACTCAAGCTATTCCTGATACATAGAAGGTTGCATTTCTAACCAGCTGATTCCATCAATCTTTCCCTTAATGTCCAGTTCAACCACTATTTCTTTCTTTCTGTGAACTTCAGAATCAACAGTGACTTCTCCCTTTTGTACTTGGTTTGCATCTCACTTATGGACTTAAGGACAATTTTGAATTATAGATATATCATATACATACATACATACATACATACACATATATATATTTATATGTAGCATAAATATAGCTATATTTATGGAAAATCCAGCCCTTAGATCTTAAGCGCTATTAGGTTAGGGACTATGTCTTATTAAATCATTTTCTCTCTCTCACTACCTAGCACAACTCTGTGCACAGTAGGTACAAAATAAGTGCTCTTTTTAAACCTTCTAAGACCCCTGTAGTAATATCACATACCCTTTTGATTAAAATCTTAGGTCACTTGTGCTTCTGCTCATTATTCCATTCATGAATTATTGTTTTCCTTCAAGCCATGGAGATGACTCCTGGCCACAAAAACAGATTGGCAAAGGATTTTTAACCCAGAGAATTTGCAAATATTGCTTTCTCAGGTGAAATTCATGTCCTGCTACACTTCAGAGTGTGGGGGGGGAGTCACAGAAATTATAAAACAGAATAAGGGGTGCTATTCACACTTCAACAAGTCTAGTTTTGCATTTTCTTTCTTGCTTCTATTGACTTGATATTTTGGCTTCCAGGAAAGGAATGAAACAGAAAAGGAAGGCAAGGGAGTGGTCATGTGGACAGGAGAAATTAGGAGATCCCTGGAAAAAAAAGTTGGGGGTCCATAAAGAAACTACATGGGCATGGGATATATAGCACCATAAGTGGAATCCAGGAAAGGTCTCCATCAGAGAATAGAGATAGAGATCAAAAGCACTCAGGAGAAATGATCCTATGTTAATGAAACTTGCACTGATCATAAACCCTGTTGTGCTAGTGAGGGAGAAAGTGGATTTTTCTTTGAATCATGATTCTCAGATGGAGAGGGAATGCCCCTACCCTTGTTCTTTTCTGATGAGTGTGAGTGGGATTCCCCACAGCTGCACACATTTATGTGACAAGGTAATCAATTGGAAAGGATTGGAGATGAATAAATTGGGCTAGGTATTTTTTGCTTAATTCTGTATGAAATAAACTACATAATCATTTTATTTTAAGTCTCTGAATGAAGGAGTATAATGGGCAGTGAACTAGATTTAAAAACTCGAAAGTTTGGGGGCTCATGACATTCAATAGCCCAAAACATCATATTTTAACGTTTTGAACAATATTTCATTTCACACCGTTTTGAACCCTGCCAGCATGACCTCAATACTAGCTGCTTTGAGTATGACTAGAGTGTGGGCAGTGTAGCCTCAACATCTTCTCCTTCAGCCCCCTCTGGTGACCAGAATGAATACTGCAGCTTCTTAGCAAAGGACTATCTCCAGGAGCGCCCAAAAAAAAAGGACTTAAAAAGTCACTTGATTGGTGGCTCATGTAGAGGGCCTCCTTGTGGGCAATTCCAACATTGCACTTCCTTGTTCAATAATTATTACTATGATAAAATGTCCTTCTGTGCAATTAGGAAAGCAGCATCACACAACCCTAGGATTCTTATTAGGAGAGGTAGTGCTATTGAGTATTGTTTAAAAAATGATTGTTAATATGAATGTACTCTACCAACCCAGTTGATGTTATGTAATACACAAAAGAATTGACTTTATTTTATCTTTGAACATCCTCTCACACTGAACTTGCCCGTCACTGAAAGATGTGAATTATTATTTATAACGAATTAAAACATACCATGCCAGTAAACCTCCAACCTTCACTGCACAGTTTACTGCTTTAACGAGGTCATCTTCCAGAAGTTCTAAAAGAGAAAAGGAAGTAGACACAAGCAAGTTTCAAGTTCTTGTTATCTAAAAGAACCAATCTGACTTGTTCAGGCAGGAAAAACAATACTGTAAGATTCTTCTACTAAATGTCAGATAAATGGGACTGCAGTAGAGAAAGATCTGTTCTCTCATTTATTTCCTTTTAGACTTAAGTGGAACACAACACTTGAATCAAACTGACTGGAATTTCTATCAAGGCTTAGAAAGTTCTTTTCTTGGGGCAGCTAGGTAGCACAGTGGATAGGGCACCAGCCCAGAAGTAAGGAGGACCTGAGTTCAAATTCAGCCTCAGAACAAACACTTAACATTTACTAGCTGTGTGACCCTGGGCAAGTCACTTAACCCCAATTGCCTCAAAAAAAATGAAAATAAAAAAAATGCTTTTCTCTCCATAACCATTGGAAGCAGGCAGTTATTGCCATTTTTCAGATGAGAAGAATGAGAGGAGATGTGAATCATCCATAGTCAAACACGTAGTCAATGTTAATATCAGAACTTAAAGCCAAGTGTCTTGACTCCAGGCCCAGGGGGCAGGGTCCATGACAGCACGTTGAAGGTCATCTACTAAAAAATCAGAAACAAAGTCAGGCAAAAATGTAAATTTTTTTTCATTATTTTTTCTTTCAAACTAAAAAGGGCACTGAATTATTACTATTGTTATTATTATGGGGTTAAGTCATCCTTAAAACAAGCTATGATGAGAAAAAACTAGGGAACTGTCAGAATGAAGTGACTGGAACACAATCACTCAGCTGTCAAATCATGACAGATGAGGGGTTTAAACCCAGGTCTCCTTGCCACTAATCCCTGACTTCTAGTCAGTGCACCAAAATGACACAGAACAACAGCTTAGAAAGTCATAACAGCTCACTGGTCACAGAAAACAGTCAGGGCTAGAAGCAGCATAGCTACATGTCTTAGAGATTCTGGAGCTAAAGACCCAAATTCAAACCTCACATTGGACACTTCCTCCTCCTTGTATGACCTTGGACAAATCACTAGACTTCGCTGGACCTCACTTTAACCATCTCTGAAATATGGGTGATGAACTAGATGGCTTCTGAGATCTCATCTACATCTATGATTCTATAATGTGGACTAATGGGATCTGCCTCAATTGATGAAATTGCCATTACAGGCTTTCCCTAACCTAAGGGCATTTATTAGAGGAACCTAGCATAGTTAGCTACCTAAAATGAAAAGAAAATTTGAAGGGTTGTGTCCATTCCATCTGATTGATTACATTCCAGTCGAAAGGACTAAGAAATGACTCTCCTAAGAAAAGATAGCCTATTTTATCTTAGGAATGACGAGGCAGGAACTGGAAAGTTAATTAGAAATGAGGACTTTCTTATTAGCTTTCTGAAGCTTCTTCTCTTCTGTAAGGCTTTAATCTGCATAGCTATTTACCTTTTGGAGCAGTGTCATTATACCCTCAATCCATAAGGTTGCTCTTACCTGAGCAATTGACTCCACACCTATTCAATGAATTTGGTGTCTTGCCATCATCACACCAGTAGCGACTATTGATCTGAAATATCCCATAATCGGTGCTTTGATCTTTAGGGCTGTAGTGTGTAGCTGTGGTGTTCAAATTACTCAATGCTTCTACCAAGCACACCCCTGTGAATGATTTATTTTAATAGTGATTATTTCATATCCAATCATATTTATCCAGTAAAACCCATTCACCTGAATTGATGTAATCCTCTTGATCACTGATATCCTCTCAGCCCCCCACCCTATATTCTTCCATTCCTAGACATTGACATCTTTGCTCTTCCTTGAACAAGTTGTTCTGTGTCCTGACTCATCATACTCACTATCTGTTGCTCATGCCAGCAAGGAGATTATAGCAATATATCAGAAAGGTCATGCACTATGATCAGGGCAGATTTATACCAGAAATGCAAGGCTGGCTCAATATGAGGAAAACTGTCTGCATAATTCTGGTGAACAATTTGGAATTTTACCTCCAAAGCTGTTAGACAGAGATGGAAACCATCATCGCCAGCTAGTGTCCCTTAACACTGGAGGGCAGGAGCACTCCTGATGTGCTGTGCTCTGAGGCAGAAGGGTCTTTTTGGCCAGAATTTCTGGCTCTTGTCCAAAAACCTTGAAGTCTTTCCTAAGAGGTGTCACCTTCTCTAAGTGACTGCATCAACAGCAGGGAAAATCCTTCAGTTCATCAATCTTTTAAGACTTCAGTGAGTGTTGAAGTGGGGGAAGTTGCAATGGGTAGGGCATGGGAGCATGGTTAAGGACCTAACATAAAATGTGAACTCAGATTATGAAAACCCATAGGGAAATAAACATGCTAATTTAGGACAATGGTTTAGAAGGAGATATTAGGTCAAATTTTAAATTAAATGAGGCTTGAATTCCCTATCACCACCCCTGTCATCTTCCTCATGAAAATTTGGCTGCTGAGTCATCATGGTGATATTTACAAACTGAGAATTTTTCTTTCAAATTATATTAACACCTAAAAACTGAAAATATAAGAACAAATAGTGCATTCCTTTCAAGCTGTCACCCCCATTGTTAGCCTCCCCCTTCTAGTGTCTGTCGATATCAACAGGAGATCAGGAAAAAATCATGGAGTTTATCCACATGTAGCTGATGTATTCTTTTTACAAATTCACACCTTTCCATTTTCTTACCATGGACGGCCTTGGTGAGGAAAATGAACCCTAGATGAAGGACTACCTTCATGTTGCCTGTGTAGTTAAACTGTTTGGGATGAGATGTACCTTAGTATTTAACTTCTTTCTTAAATTCCTCTTCCTTCCTCCACACCATATCTATGTGGAAATCAATATTGATATACGGCTACATTTTCCCACTTCCCCTAAGGGCAGAAGACATAGTAGATGGCATGGCATGACAACTTTCTCTCTATTCCAAAGTCCAATTAGGGTGAGGAGAGGGGAGATAGCTTCTGGTTGCCTAGTGTTACACCAGCCTTACCTAACATTAATGCATCTGATTTCCCAGTGAATAAAAGTGTAATATAGGAAAATCAGGTTCAAATAATAGGCTAAAATTCACCTTCCTCAAGGCTAATCACAATTCAAAGTCAGAGGATCACAGAAATATTTAACAGGTGAAAGCCAAGGACAATCATGATCCACATATATAAAACACAAAAGAGTCAAAAATCATAGAATTTCAGAGCTGAAATGGAAATCAAACCATTCCCAACCTATATTCAACTGTAATATTCTCTGCAACCAAGTGATCAATAGTCATACAACCTCTGCTAGAATCCAAAATCTACTGACATTTTTAACAACTTTGATACTTTTATTCACTTCATCTGAAATAATCTATGTGAAGCAACTCATAAAGTTAAATCACTGTATAAATATCAGTTATTATAATTACTCATGGAGTGGAACAGAAGCTTGGATATTGCAATATGGTAAAACAATTAATAAGTACTTTATATTTGGCTTTGAAATGTTTTATAATCATTAAATATGAGAATTACAGTCATCAAGAAGAGATAGATTAGATTTTTCAGCCTCTGTAATGATAGCAGAGCTAGGAGCAATGGGTCGATATATAAACTAAGGCTAAACTAAGGACAAGGAGAATTAATGGACTTTATTAAAGTTGGTCAAGGTAGCTACACATCCCTGGAGATCAGTGATGGCTTCAAGGTGAGGCCAACTTTAATTGGGAAAGGTAATAATGCGTGAAGGCAATTCAGATAGGTCAATGTCAGCCAAACAGGCTGAGCCCGTCCATCTCAGGTAAAGGGAGAAGGTGGACTTGGCTTCCCTTTGCCTTTCCCAATGGAACCTCCACCAACACTGATTGACAATTTGTGCTGGGAACAATGGATCAGTGAGCCAACATAACTTTCAATGGTATACTCCCCCACCTCTTTTCTGATACTGTCACCTTCCCCCAACCCCACATAGTCCTTCATCACTGCACACCTGAACTATTATCCAATTTTCTTTCCCTGCCTCAAGTCTCTCCCTACTCCAGTCAACCTTCTTCTCATTTTTCAAATGTCACTTCACACCAACCACATTCTATAAACCCAATGGCTTGCTTTTACTTTTAAAATCATATATAAAATTATCTGTGTGGTATTCTAGCCCCTTCACAACCTGGCTCCTTCCTAATTTTCCAGTTTTGTTTTGTTTTTTTAAACCTTGGCCCAACATATTCTGTGGTCCATTTACATTTGCCTCTGCTCTCCCTTCAACAAGACACTCTATCTCTTGACTTTGGACATTTTCACTGGCTGTCCCCCACATTTACAATACTCTCCATGCTCATCTCCACCTCCTGGTTTCCTTCAAGCTGCATATAAAATTCCACCTTCTAAGGATGCTTTTCTTGACTCCTCTGAAAGGTATTACCTTTCATCTCTTAATCCTCACCAATTTATCCTGTATATATATTTTGTTTGAACATAAGTGTTTGCATGCTGTCTGTCCCATTAGACTCGGAACTCCTTGAAAACAGAGACTTTCTTTTGCCCAGCACTTTACACAATGCCTTGCCTTTAGTAGGTACTTGATGAATGCTTGTTGACTGATTGCCTAAGACATTGGATATATGTGGTGCAGCTGATAAAGTGCCATACCTAGAATCTGGAAGACTCATCTTCCTGAGCTCAAATCTGACCTCACACACTTACTTATTTGCTTAGCTCTAAAGTGATCTGGAGAAAGAAATCGCAAACCACTTTACTATCTTCACCAAGAAAACTCCAAAAGGGGGTCACCAAGAATCAGACACATCTGAAATGACTGAACAACACAAATGATTTCTCAATAGCTGAAGGTCTTGCCAGCAGAGGCTGTGTAATCGAAAGGATTACAGACTGAGAAGTACTTTCACTTTAGGTTTGGATCTTAAGACATAATGACACGTACTCAGTATAAACTTAACGATCACATTTATTTTACAATGATTAATAATGATTAAGGCAACACAAGCATATAAAGACAAGAATAACATTCAATGCAATAAGTATTAATCAAAATCAAGAAAAGGAGGAATAAGAAAAGAAAAGATACACACTCACTGACCAGGCAAGCTCAAATACCTACGAGACAGGGGAGACTGGAAAAGATCAAGAGGTCTGATCAGGAGGCTGAAAGAGCAGCGTCCTGCTCTTAAACAACAAGGACCATGCACGAGTTCCACCCTTGAACAACAACAGAGAATCGGTGTCCCTATCTCTGACATAAAAGAATTCCAAAGAACCCCCTTTCAGATGTCCCTTTTATATCTATGTAAATTAGGGAAAAACAACCTTAATATTTTGCTTTGTGTACATATCCTTGGTGAGCTCAGGTCCTGGATACACACACATTCTAAGAAAGGTGAGAGCTTGATCAGGGCCCCAAATACCTGTTTGTTGTGTAAGTCTCCAAGGAGTGATCAGGTCCTTGGAGAGTTACAAACCTCTCTCAAGAAAAATGTTCCTTGAGATCAGAATTGCTTTCCCAGGTAACATAGTTTGTTGTTTACTTAATGTTTCATCTCCATGATAACCTTGGCCATGCATGTTAACTTCACTGTACATTCTTTATGTCAGGTCATGACATAAAGGGGCTCACAAAGGGTTTCACAAAGGGGCTGGGGAAGATCTTCCTCAGTTTCCCTCACAGGCTGCTATAAATACTTTTGCACATATAAGTCCTTTTCCTTTTTGGTTTGTTTTTTTTTATCTTTTTTGCTTGCAGAACTAATAGTAGTATTGCTAGGTCAAAGGGTATGCATGGTTTTATAGCCCTTTGGGCCTAGTTCCACATTTCTCTACAGAATGGTTGAATCAATTCACAATTCCACCATCAGTGCATTAATGCCACATTTTTCCCACATCTCCTCCACCATTTGTCATTTTCCTTTTCTGTTCTATTAGCCAATCTATTAGGTATGAGGTAGTACCTCAGAATTATTTTAATTTGCATTTCTCCAATCAATAGTGAGTTAAAGTATTTTTACAAATGGTTATAGATAGTTTTGGTTACTTCATCTGAAAACTGTCCATATATTTTGATCATTTATCAGTTGGGGAATGGCTCTTACTCTTATAAATGTGACTCAGGTCTCTATATGTTTGAGAAATGGAGCCTTTATCAGAGAAATTTGCTTCAGATGTTTTTCAAAGTTACTATTGCTAACTGTACTTCCCTCCATCCAATCCCCACCTCGTTTATTCTCTTCTCTCTCTTCTTTCACCCTGTCCCTCCTCAAAATGTGTTTTGCTTCTGTCTACTCCCTCCACCAATCTGCCCTCCTTTCTATCACACCTCTCTCCTCTTATCCCCTTTGCCTTCTACTTTTCTGCAGGGTAAAATAGATTTCTATACACAAATGAGTGTGTATGTTGTTCCATCTTTGAAATGAAAAGGTTGGACTGAACCTTGCAGAAATGTTTTTCAGCTCGAATCTATTTTGTGTTGCCTCTACTTTCCCACCACTTTTCTACTCTTCCACCTCATACAATCTGCATTCTGATCCTGGCACTCCCTCTGCTGAAGCTGTTCCTGCAAGGATTGTTGGCTTCTTAGAGACCAAAACTAGTGACCCAGTGGCTGTTTCTTAGTGTGTGTCCTCACAGAGCTTGCTGGGGCCTCTGACATGGAGGGTGATGTGATGAATGAACTTAAAAAAGATATTCTGACCTTGCCTGCAACTTGACCCTGACTCTTTTTTTCCCTATTAATCTTAGTCCTAGCTAGACATTGAAGGACTGTTTATGGTATTTCCTCCACGGAAGGGCTGGCTACCCATCCTGGAAACAGACATTCATAAACAGGAATACTCTCAAGGATAGTTTTGAGAGCAGCTCCTTTCTTTTTTTTTTTCTTTTTTCTTGGCTAAGCAATGGGGTTATGTGACTTGCCCATGGTCACACAGCTAGTAAGAGGCCGGATTTGAACTCAGGTCCTCCTGAATCCAGGGTAAGTGCTCTATCCACTGTGTCACCTAGTTGCCTGAAGAGAGCAGCTCCTTTCCCCCAGATCACGCATTTTTTGGCTAATTGTCTTCTTTGATAGAAGGAACTACTAAAAGCAGGTTGCCCAACTTTATCTTTGGAGTCTCCCCCAAGGTGCAGATGTGTAGCAAGGGATTTTCTTATTGGGACTCTGGAGGCTGAAAACCAGGACTCCAGCCCATGTGATCCAGATGTAGATGGTTGCTGTGATGGTGATGGTTGATTGTGACAAGGTTGGATGCCCATTGAGACTTAAGTATGTTATTGTTACCTATTGGGACTTACTAACTCTTATTCTATTCTACTTACTAATCTTAATCTTATTTTACTATCTTAATGACAAATACTTTTACTATATACTTACATGTAAATCAAACTTGAGACTCTGTCATTTCTAAACCAATCTGAACCAAAACTAATTTAAACTGCATTAAATAAGGCTGCTAGGCAACACATTTTTTGGGAACATCATGAACAGGATTGGTTTTGAGATGCCATTGTTCTCAAGGAAAACAGCCCTGTTGACTGACAACATTCCAGGGTGGGAAGATGTGTTTTATGCCTTCTTAGATAAGGAATGGGCTGCGGGAACAGGCCCTTGTGAATATTGGGAAGGCAAATTGAAGAAAGCATAACCTGTGGATGTTTTACACTGTTTAGAGAGTATCTCTTTAAGAAGGGGGAGGGGGAGATCATTTGACAGTTTGCCAAAGAGGCTGGGCTCTCCTGGCTGCCCATCAGC